CTCCTTTATCTAGTTTAGATCCTTCTACACCTAGCAGTTTATTCTCCTTTATCTAGTTTAGATCCTTCTACACCTAGCAGTTTATTCTCCTTTATCTAGTTTAGATCCTTCTACACCTAGCAGTTTATTCTCCTTTATCTAGTTTAGATCCTTCTACACCTAGCAGTTTATTCTCCTTTATCTAGTTTAGATCCTTCTACACCTAGCAGTTTATTCTCCTTTATCTAGTTTAGATCCTTCTACACCTAGCAGTTTATACTCCTTTATCAAGTTTAGATCCTTCTACACCTAGCAGTTTATACTCCTTTATCTAGTTTAGATCCTTCTACACCTAGCAGTTTATTCTCCTTTATCTAGTTTAGATCCTTCACTTAAAAGTTTATACTTCTTTATCTGGTTTGAATCCTTCTACACCTAGCAGTTTTAAATCCTCTATCTAGTTTAGATCCTTCTACACCTATCAGTTCAGAATCCTCTATCTAGTTTAGATCTGTCTCCGCCTTCTATCAAGTAAATAATATTAAGCATACGCTATGGCGGATACAGATGCCGAGTACTCCGCTTTCTATCAAGTAAATGATATAAAAGATACGATATGGCGGAGGCGGATGCCGAGTACTCCGCCTTCTATCAAGAAAATGATATTAAAGATACGCTATGGTGGGGCCAGATGCCGAGTACTCCGCCTTCTACCAAGTAAATGATATTAAAGGTATGCCGTGGCGGAGGCGGATGCCGAGTACTCCGCCTTCTATCAAGTAAATGGAACCAACAAATCCTGTAAACCAATTCAGGTAAAGGGATTATTCGCTTTCCTTTGACACAAAACTCTCATTTCTTCTGATAAATGTTCAACCATATTTGGCAGGTTCTTCAGACTTCCGAGGAACTGCAAGCACTGTTTACAAATTCTCATGGTTTTACAATGGTGGCTTAAACCGTTTATAAATAAAACGTGAAAAAAAACACTTTTATATCTGAGAGGCTTAATTTTTACCCAATCAAACTGAAAATAATATCACAATATCTCTAAAATATTAGGATACAATATCTTAGGTTCTAAAAGAGATATTGTAAATTTAATATGATTAGTTAGTAATTAATCGTCTCTGAGAGAAAAAAGCGTGAATTGTTTTGAAATATCAAAAGTCTAAATATCATGAAGCAAAAGATACAGGGATTGGAAAAATAGAATTTATTGAAAGTTCATTTTGTTATTTTTCCTAAATATTTGTCATACCAAGCTGGCTGGGGTAATAAATTAAAGCCCTAAATCAATTTTCATATACCGGGGATCTGCCTACAAAAATTGATGGTTCAAAATAGGATCCTTCATTTTTAACTAAAAATAAATACTCTATCTTAAGTGTAAAAGCCAATTAAGACAACATTCATAAACTAATCTTCCTGAAAAAAATTGAAATTAATTGTCATATAACTCAGATTCATTTACGAAATTATAATTGTCAAAAACGTTTCTTTAAAAAAAACCCGATCGTATCGTTGTTTTGTTTTTCATGGTTCGTATGTTGTGACCCATCGTTTTCGATCGTTTTGTAAAACGATTAACATAAAGATCCAAACTGCATCAATTTTTAAGACAGGGTAGTAACGTCTTGGCTTTTGCTATAACCTCAACAACTCGGTTATACTTTTTGAAGCTTAGGGACTTGTTGATTTTAGAACTAAAATGCACATGATTAGGCTTTGATTGTTAAGTAGGTGAACAAATTCTAATCGATTTTTGCTGAGCACTTACAAGGGTGCATGAAAAGGGGTCAATTTAATTACTTTGAATGTAACATGTACATTGCACAATGTACTATGTAAATAATTTTAAGATATCTATACAAAATGTTACTAATAAAATAATGTTACCTATACAAATATATTAAGAAATGTTACTATTCACTTTTCAGGATGATTTTATGCACATGTTGCGGTCAGCTGATGCACCCGGAGAAGATCTTCCTTGGACAGGACTTTTTACAGGGATGCTTATAGGTAAATATTTACCTACAGTTAACCCCTAAATGAGCCAAACATCGAAAGAATTGATCAAATGTCGTCTTGACAATTTTTCAATGAGTTTTATACTCTTTTACGTAAATCTCAATATTTCCAAAAAAAAGCCATGAATATGCGGGAACATTTTTTAAGTGCTCCAAATAATCATTTAATTAAAAAACTAAATATTTGCAGCATTCCAAATGAAGAATACGACATTTGATGAATTCTTTCGATGTATGGCTTATTTAGGGTTTAACTGTATAAATCGTGTAAATATATTTACAGGAATATTTATAGGTAAATATTTACAGGGATATACAGGGTGTCCCACGAAACATGACAATAGCAAGACGAATTGAAAGTCGTCTTTGGTATTTGAATTTATTTGTGACATTTAGTCTTTTATCTACTAGGATACATATAGGTAAAAATTTACAGGAATATATATAGGTAAATATTTACAAGTATAAATATAGTTAAGTATTTACAGGGATACATATAGGCAATATTTTCAGGTATAAATATAGTTAAGTATTTACAGGGATATATAAAGGTAAATATTTACAGGTATAAATATAGTTAAGTATTTACAGGAATATATATAGGTAAATATTTACAGGGATATATATGGGTAAATATTTACAGGGATATATATAGGCAAATATTTACAGGTATAAATATAGTTAAGTATTTACAGGGATATATATATATAGGTAAATATTTACAGGTATAAATATAGTTAAGTATTTACAGGGATATATATATAGGTAAATATTTACAGGTATAGATATGGTTAAGTATTTACAGGGATAAATAAAGCTAAATTATCTCTCTTTCTTGTTATTCATTGCAGCATTCGCATAACTCCTTTGGGCTTCTGCATCAGGTTTATTGTGAACGGAAAACCCTCTACACCATAAAAAGACGACATCTAGTGTTCTATCTGTATTGTTATTAATCTATGGAGATCACATAAGAGATTGTTTAGGTTCAGTTTGGTATTGGTGTACTGATCAAGTAATAGTTCAGAGAACCTTGTCTGCAAAAAATTTAACTCATGCAAAGGTATTTTTCAGTTCAATGTTGGCAAGGCCTTGGCAAAATCCCATAAATTTTTCTGATCCATATATCTTTAAACCCTGATGATTAAAATTAAAAAATATTTAAGCTTTTTGCCATCAGGTTGCAAAGATATGAGATGCAAAAATTACAGTTTACTGCAAGTTTTGAAATCTTTTGTGTTATAAAAATGAGCTAATAATCTCAATGGTTGGTCAGGGTGGAGTATTACTGGCTGGGATCCTGAAATTTCTTCCGCTGTTTCTTCTTGTAATTCCAGGAATGGCCGCTAGAGTTCTGTACAGGTACAAAAAATGTGCACTAAAACACTGACTTTAAAGGTTAAGAGGCTGCAGGAATCTTGGATAGCGTTGTAAAAAATTCTAAAAATTGTTTTAAGATTTTTTGATTGCTGACAAAAGCTTTTATTTATCCATTTTGAAACTGCTTTTCTAATATTAAAAAATTTAAAATGTAACTCACATAAATATTAATAGATATTGATATGAATGGATATTTAGAATTTTTTTAAATCACTGATCGCTGTAAAACTCTGGTTCATTTGAAATACCGGACTGACGTGTAATTAATAAGAGCAAGTTGTACAGAGTCCAAATTTAAAGAATTTGAGCCACTGTTTAATTTTAAATGCGGGTCAAACAAAGTTAGTTCCACTTGAAATTGTTTTCAGCGTTTCGAGATTTGAGCTGGCACTCAATTGGAACCGGTTTTTGACGGCTCAGCGACGCGGTTTAAATCCTTTAAATTCTGCCTAATTATTACTTATACAAAACGGAATAGTGCATGAATCATCTACCTCCTTCTAATGAGATTATTGTGGGATCTGCATTCCCAAACATTAATTAACAAAAATACTATTTTGCAAACCACCAATAAGTTCGAATATCATTTGTTACTAACAACTAGACATGAGAAATTCCTGTACTGCAGTTGCTACTCTATACTGTTGCAGAACATCATAACAAGTTTCGCTGTACAACATACTATATATAATATCATACACAATTGTACAATTGACTAAATTTGGAATATGGTTAATAACTTAGTTAATTTGCTAGTACACACACACACATTCACATACCACAGTGATTTAAAGGTTGCCAGCTCTCAAACAAAAATCTATGCTAATTTTGTCAATTAATTTGTTATTACTAAAGCTAAAAAAGTGCTTAATTGTTCTAAAATGCACATGCCCAGGGTTATAAAAAATGCATGTGAGTTAGGGAGGTAACATTACAGGCCAAAAAGTTGCGACACTTAAAAATCGACCTTGTCGTGAACATTTATGCAACTTTTATCGCAGTTTGGATCATTGTGCACATGCACATCACACATAGTCACAAACACATCTAGAACTTTAAACTATGTTTAGAAACGAGATTGGATGTTCTGATCCTACTGCCTGTCAGAAGATTTGTCAGTCTGAGTCTGGGTGTACAGATATAGCTTTCGTTCTTCTTGTTCTAGATCTTCTACCTAGTGGTAATTATCAAAAAAATTCAAATAGAATAAAATTATTTCAAAAAAGATATTTGATTGGATAATCGTAGGGATCAAGGTTATAATGCAAGGAAAGTCATTTCAGAGGTGTACGCATCTTTTTATACTGCAGTGTACTGACGGATGTCACAGCCTGCCACGGGATCCATCATTCACATAAAAAATTAATGAAATATTCTGGTCAGAGGAAACTATTATGTGAATTATCAAAATTTTCAAAATTCAATGCTTTTATCCTCCTTGGATATTAAACGAACACTGATGCATCTATTCTTGTTTACAAATTCCGCTCAGAGAGAACTGGTTTCAATATGTACGCAGAGTATACGCAACTGCAATTAACTTTCCTTGCATTATAACCTTGGTAGGGATTAAAAATTTGAAATAAAAATTCCAACATTTTTTTTGGGCTTTTACATTACACTTAAAGGGAGTGTTCGCGAAAAATAAAGGAGGGTATAGGCTAACGTCGAATCGAATTCGATGGTGATCGCTGCTAAACTTACTTATATCTGTTGCGTCTATAAGGGAAAAATTGTTAAACACATACCGAAGAACGTAGCGTCCATACAAATTTACAAAGTTGCATAATTCCACTCAGATCGTGAATAATTCAGTTAAATCTGAAATTAATTATTCAGATATTACAGTCTATAATCATCGAATTCCATTCGATGCATTCGTAAAAAGTTAATAATTAATAATACTTTTGTTTGATTCAACGTGAACCCTCCCTTTAAAGTATTGGTCATAATATTGGCGGTTTTACTGACATTTTATTTCTCATCTGTGTCCCCCCCCCCCCCCTCCCCGCCCTCCCTCTTACAGCCTTTTAAAGCCATGTACTGACTTAAATATCTTTTTAAATAGGTTTCATTTGCAGTTTACTTGTTATGATCGTATTATCTAAATTCATCAAAATTCATCTTAAATATTCCTAAAAATTGTTTCATAATAGGAAACGAAATATTTTAAATCTTAAAATAAATTGATACAACCAATGAATTTTGAATTCTTAAATCATAGAAAGACAAATAACTTCAGGTTTGAGGGGTTTAATAATGGCAGTAATGATGGCAGCTATAATGTCATCTTTAACCTCTGTTTTCAACTCTGCATCAACCATCTTTACTATTGATATATGGACCAGGTAGTTTCGTCAATATTCACAATATTTCTTTACATTGATATATGGACCAGGTAGTGTCGTCAATATTCACAATATTTCTTTAATATTGATATATGGACCAGGTAGTGTCGTCTATATTCACAATATTTCTTTACTATTGATATATGGACCAGGTAGTGTCGTCAATATTCACAATATTTCTTTACTATTGATATATGGACCAGGTGGTGTCGTCAATATTCACAATATTTCTTTAATATTGATATATGGACCAGGTGGTGTCGTCAATATTCACAATATTTCTTTACTATTGATATATGAACCAGGTAGTGTCATCAATATTCACAATATTTCTTTACTATTGATATATGAACCAGGTAGTGTCGTCAATATTTACAATATTTCTTTACTATTGATATATGGACCAGGTGGTGTCGTCAATATTCACAATATTTCTTTACTATTGATATATGGACCAGGTAGTGTCGTCAATATTCACAATATTTCTTTACTATCGATATATGGACCAGGTAGTGTCGTCAATATTTACAATATTTCTTTTATATTGTTGATCTATTTTCTTAATGAATATTATACAATTCCTAATAGTGCGAGGAATTTGTGTGTTTAAAATTATCATCATTAATTTCATACAAAATAAGATGGTTACATGCTACAGCCTTAAGCAAACGGTTGAAAGGGGAGATAATATTGGGTTAAGCTGATAATGCTAACCTGCCCAAAAGGCTATGGCAAAAATATTTTCGACTGCCAGATCAGTTTCCATTTTATCTTTGGGATTATAGTCAGTCTTTTTAAACCCTGCAACTTAAGCTGGTAAGGTGCAAGGAGGTTTAAAAAAGATCAAAACTACACTAGAAAAGAAAAAAAAAACGTTTATTTGACAAATAAGAAATCTGTTTAGTTCAAATAATAAATAAATTATGGCTTTTAATTTTTTTTAAACAGAGACTAATCTTTTGACTGTTCTCTTGAGCAATCTGGTGTCCGTCTCCCCACCCCCACACAAGAAAACGCTAAAAGGTTAGATAGGTTAAAGTTTCATCTTTGTTCAAAGATTGAACAAAGATGAAACTTATATCTTGCCATTCGAGAGCGCAAAACAGTTTTTTTAGAAGTTTCTTCAACATATTACTTTCTAGGATGGTTTGTGTCCATTAAAACATCCTTTCAAAAAATGTTATTGGAAAATTTTTGGCTATTTTTGCAAACTAAAAACTTATTATAGATTTTTTTCTTTAAAAATTCTTTTATGCCATTGTTTATAAATAATAACAAAATCATGTCCACAGAATTCATAGTCTCAAAAATCTCTGAGAAAAGTTTCAGCTTTGCAACCAATTGTTTTAATTTAGGTTTAGACTGAAGGCAACTGATACAGAGAAACTTATTGTTGGCAGATCATTTGTTGTCGTACTCATAGGAAGCAATATATTTAACAATTTACCTTTTTATATAATATATGGTATAGCTTTAGGCGATGTTTAAGATAAGTTTATTTTCTAACTAGCTGAAGTGCGTGGCATTGTCCGTGGAATTTAAAAAAATGAACTTTAAAAAAAAATCATTTAAAAAAAATTGTTTAGTCTTTTTTAGCCTCCGGGTACCCATAAGTTTCCTCAAAAATGCCAGCTAGCCCATGCAGTTTAGCGTTCGTTAGGCCAGCTATAGCTAACGTAATGATTGTGTAAAATAAATATGGGCATAATATTTTCTTACGCCATTTCGGGTTTCCTATGAATTGATATCGAGATAATAGTAAAAGTAAAAGAAAAAGAAAAAATTATCTCTGCTTTCGATGCTTTGAAATGATCAAATATATAAAAAGAATAACAAATTTATAGAATTGAATTTCACTTGTTCTTCTAGTCAGTTTTATCATATTTTTTTTGAAATCCTTTTAGTCTTTATATCCAGATTCCAAAACTAAAGAATGCGCGAATTTTAACTTTTAAGCACTAGGTTAATTATTCTGTTAAATAATGAATTCAGTATTAAATTAAATTAAACCCCAAACTTAAGTTGTAACGACCAATCAGAATACAAAGATTTTTTCAACCAATAACAGACTAGGAAAATTATCAGCCAAGGGCGTATACAGAAATAAATCTAGGGGGAAGGCCAAATGTGAACTGTTAATTCAAAACAGTTGACTTCTGGCATATCATAAATATAAGATACTATAAAGGTACACGTACAGTCCAATTACCTTGCAAGTACTACTTTATCTCTCCTTCACAAAAAACTAGCAAAAAATTCTAAAACATCGACATTTTATTATACTGTTATGTTAGTAATAACTAGTATTTAAACTAAAGATAGTGAAAGACATTTTTTAAAATAAAAAACTCAACTTAAACTTAAATTCTATGAGATGAAAAAAGGACAAAGGTCCAGAAAAAAATAATAAATTGTAAAAGTTTCTGTTTTGAAAAATAGTAGGCGTACAATTGTAATCTATATAATAAAGCTCTTAGTTCTTAGTTAGCTATGGCTGGCCAAACAGCTGAATCAAATGGGCTGAATTTTAGCTAAATAAAGTTTTTTGTTATGGGCAACGCCGGGCACTTTATCTAGTTATTTTTTATGTCTTTACTCATTTAAAAATTATGAGTTTGATTCCAACCCATGAGTGACTTCTTTTTATGAATTTTATTTGAACATTAGCAATATTTATTTATATATTTGTTTTTGTCACAAAATAAGACACCTAGTTACAGGGTGTCGTACGAAACATGACAGTGTTTATATTGTTTTGAATGTCTTCTTCCATATACAGTATTACATATTTTAGACGTTTTGCAGTTTATTTTGATTTAAAAAATGTTTTGCTTAAATATATTTTACTTTGAAATCAATTTTACAATACCGTGACTGTCATATAATATTTTTATTATTCTCTTTGGTATTAAACAACTTTACAAATTATGGAAGAAGACATTTAAAACTATTTACAAACTGTAATGTTTCGTGGGACACCCTGAATTTAAATTCAATTTGTAACTATATTCAAAATGAAGTTTGAATTTAGTTTTAAATTTTTAATTTAAACTATTTAACACCTTATTAATAAAGTAAAATATTTTAAAAATATTTTTGATTAATCAAATTTTAAACTTCCCACACAAAATTTTAAATTGTACTTGCTGTTCATCAAAATATATTCATACAGGGACAGATAGACATTTATATAATGGATTGAACCACTTCTCTTGTGTGTTGGCTTAAGTTGAAGTGAAGTGATTCAATTTTGTCTACGTATTTAATCTACTTTTCCCTATTTCTAAAAATTTATTCTAGTTTTTAAAAAGTTTCTTGAGAAAAGATTTTCATGGCTTCTGTTTGCAAAATATTTTTAAACTTTGTTTTAAAAAAAATTCTTAGAACTTCTCGAATAATTTGAAAGGAACTGAGTTTATGGCACAAATTCTGATTTTCAAATCGCTATATCTTTGCAACCTGATGGTGTTAACCTTAGATATTTTAAACTATCATTATTTGATCTAAAATAATTCATAGTTTGAAATATCTAAGGTCTCCGACATTGAAATGCAAAGATATAGGGATAAATAAAATCAGAGTTTGTTACCAAAACTCAATTCTTTTTTAATAATTATCAATATATAACTAATACATGCAGGCGCGTAACTAGACATTTGGTTAGAGAGGGGCTAGGGGGAAAATTTTTTGGCCCCCCCCCTAAACATTTTTAGGGGGGGGGCAAGAAAAATGAGTGTTATACTTAAACAATAAAAAACTAACCTTACCAACCGGATATTCAGTTATAAGTCAACACATCTGATATAAAATGAAACAAGAAATCTATTTGCTTAATTCGGAAAGAAACCCTAGTGCAAAACAGGAAAAATATCTGTCTTAATAAACTATAATGTGTGAAAAGTTAAAAATCTAGTTTTTTAGTTTTTAGTCATTGATTTTCACTCTTTTTGAGTCTTTTAAGTCAAAAAAAATTTTCGCCTGCGCCCATGATTCTGATATAAATCACAAAAATAATTAATTTTCAATACAAATTACAAATTAAATATATATATATAAATTTTCATTAGTTATCCATAAATCAAATATGTACATTGTACTCAAAAACTGACAAGAAATGCCTTTCATTAAAAATTCATGATTTTACATGAAAAATATTTTTTTTTTGATATAACACATCACACAATATTTGCGGTGAACATGTAGGATTAATTGAATAGTTGTACTACAGTATTAAAACAATATCATAATAAGTGGGCTCGTAGACGAAGTGGGTCTGTATGTGTGTATATGGTGTATTAATTGCTATATGGATTGAACTATAAGCTCAATAAACTAACGTTCAATTATCTTTCTTATTTTACGATAAGAGCTCTTAAATTTCCTCAGGGTCAGGATTCATGAATCGCTAAATTGCAAAACAGGGTGGACTTCGTCACTTCTTGCCCCCCCCTACAGGGGGGGGCAAGACTTCTTAAGGGAGGGGCATGCCCCCCCCCTTAATCAGGCTAGGGGGGGCCTGGCCCCCCTGACCCCCCCCCCTAGTTGCGCGCCTGAATACATGATGTTTATATTTGAATAATTATTAAAAGTCAATCAATATAGAGTTGTAAGACTCACAGCCGGAGCCAAAAACAATTTATCATTGATTCACTTTTTTTCTCTGATACTTGAATACTTGCCACAAACTAAATAGCATTCAAACTTGGACCATTTGATCTTTTAGATTTTCATCAGGTTGCAAAGATATAGAGAGACAAGAGAATTTGATTTAATGTCGACCGCTCTGTTCTTTTTTAGACAAGAGACATATTATTCAACTTCTACAAGAATAATTTCAGCCAAAGGGACTGTCCTTGTATTTCTAATTGAACCTTTCTCTAATTAATAATTTGAAGGATAGCGCCGCTTGAAAAGTATAAAATCTCCATTGTTTATGAAGAAAAAATACGCAACTAAGTTTTGCAAAGACACCACAAATTAAAAAAAACATAGATATTTAAATCATACTTGATCAGACAAAGCTATGTTTCTTCATTTTCTTCCTTTAGATCTAGTCTTTCTTCACAAGTTGATATAAAAAGATGTAAAAAAAGCTAATTCACAGATGAAGCATAGTTAAATAGTTATTTTTGATATTAATTTTTTTTTCGCCAACCGTAGTTATTGCAAATATTTAACATTTGATTTCCCGTTAGATTTGGTTCCGTATTATTTATTAAACTAAAAAGTAGTAATATGCGTCCAGAAGCATGAATTAGAACACGTAAATCCATTTTAATAAAATTAAATAATAAATAATGCTTGGTTAGCTGTGAGTATTGCATGGATTCCTATTATTGTAAACTACAAACAGTCACAACTTTTCCATTACGTTCAGGTAATATTCATAGAAAGGGGGGGGGAGAAAAGGGTTAGGGTTAGGGGCGTTATAGATAAACTCCAATGGCTTCAATTAGAGGGTGAGGGTTGGGAACTTGGGGGCGAGTTTGAGTGGGTGAACTCTTTGAGTGGAACTACATGGTGTCCCACGAAACATGACAGTAGCAAGACGACTAAAATGTCGTCTTAGAACTTTGAATTTATTTGTGACATAAATCGTCAACCTTTTTTCACATGTATAATTTCTGAAACAATAACCACAAAATTCTCCTAGTTCTGGTATTTTCAAAGTGTGGTCTGCCTTTTTTGTGCTTTCAATATTAGGGGAAATATTAAGAATTTCGTTCAGGTTTCTCTTTTATTAAATAAAACCAAAACTGACGAAATCTTAACGAAATTCTTCATGTTTCATGGGACACCCTGTAGGTAAAGTGAATAAAGAATGATTGAAACAAATACTGGACTCTTGGTTCGGTTGAGAACTAAATCCTAGAGCAGAAAAACATTTTTCTCGAAGATCTTAATTTTTCGGTTTTACAAATTGTGCATACCTTGTTTTACAGATTAGGCATCTAGAGGCCGAATTTAAAGAATTTGAGCCGCGGCTTTTTTTTAAGTCTGGGCTCAAATATGAATGTTCCACTTAAGATTGTATCCAATTTATCAAGATTTAAGCCGGCGCTCAATTGAAACGGTTTTTGGGGGATTTGCGACGCGGCTCAAATTCATAAAATTCTGACACAGGCATCGTTGTGCTGTCTGAACTTTTTTATTGTGCAGTAAAATGGCAAAAATATTCTTTTCTGAAATCTTAATTTACGTCAATTTATATTTAAGTTTCACCCAAATTCTAAGTCTTCAGTTCTCATTTCGTTTTGTTTTTAGACTTTATTTCGTTTTTCTAGAACTGGTAATGTCCAATGCGTTTCATTAACGATTTAAAAAAAACGATAGTTGCCGTTCCTTAACAGACTCTTTCGTTAATTTTCGAAAACATCCGTTGTGTTTATGAAAATTTGCCCAGCTCTAGTATCCAATAAGACAAATTATAAAGGTTTCCAATTAAAACTTGTCTCCGATTTTACTTTGAATGTTTTTTATTCTATTCTAGGCTGTTTCAAATTTTCTCTGTCCCCCCATCACAGCAATTTTTCTACTAGGGCTATTTTGGCCTCGACTAAATGAACAGGTAAAAGGTATATGTTTACTTGCACTAAGAAATATCCAGTCAAAAGTCAAAACTAAACTTTTTTCTTCAATTTTTTAAAATATTAAATTTCGACCGGCCATAAACCAACTGTGCAGAATTGCGAGCAATTTTCGTATTGCACGGAGTTGTGCGGCATTGCGCGGAAATTACAGGGCTCGTAATTGCGCGTAAGTAAACTCCATTTGCGTTGGAAATCCTACATGTGATTTACCACAAAAAATTGGACCTGATTGGTTCAGCCATTTCATTAGATGCAAAGTAACAAGTGAACAGACAATGAAACAACGAGCTAAAGATATTGAAGTTAGAATACATTCTTTGAAATACATAGTTAAAATATAAACCTGGAGGAAGGAGAACAATATTTTTAAGCTTTCATTAATTAAAAGTTAGAAAAAGCACGAATTTCTGAAAATATGGTTGAGAGAGTGCGGGTAGAATAAAAAGGAGAAAGATGAAGGTTGAGTTTCAAAATGAAATTAAACAAAATTTATCTTTTAGTTATTTAATTAGATTTGGAATTCATCAAACGTAGTCATTAACAATCCTTTTTAGTGTACAGGGGCATCGACGTTTCAATTATTTACAACACAACGCGCGATTTCTTCTTGTATTTATTAATTTCTCTTCTGTCCTTGCCAGAAATTGCAAAATTATATGACATAGAATTAGGTCTAAATATAGATTTAGTCTGGTATACGGTTATCGGCGTTTTTAAAAAAAACAATTAAGACAAATTTTCTATTCAGGTTTTGATTTCGATAAGCTTTTTGAATTAAAATTTTACAAGTAAGCATTAAAAGAATTTGTATATTCTAGGGTGCATTTTGGAGCCTTATTATAGGATTTGCTGTGGGAATAGTCAGGTATTTTGAAGCCTAATTATAGGATGTACTATGGGAATAGTCAGGTATTTTGAAGCCTAATTATAGGATGTACTATAAGAATAGTTGAGGTATTTTGAAGCCTAATTATAGGATGTACTATGGGAATAGTTAGGTATTTTGAAGCCTAATTATAGGATGTACTATGGAAATAGTCAGGTATTCTGAAGCCTAATTATAGGATGTACTATGGGAACAGTCAGGTATTTTTAAGCCTTATTATAGGATGTACTATGGGAACAGTCAGGTATTTTGAAGCCTAATTATAGGATGTACTATGGGTATTTTGACGTAAAAAAAATAAAGTTTTATTTATGTTTTTGATAAATTAAAAAACGTATTTAATTTATTTTTAGAAATTCTTCATTTTTTAGATTTACATTATTTCATTTTTATTATATATTTTAATATTAAACTTGTTATATTTGGCTTCAAGGGCTGCAATATTCTTATGTAAGACAATTATATTTTAAATCTTTTTATTTATAGATTTGGCCTTCAGTTTGGGTACAAGGGACCTGCTTGTGGTTCAGGGTTACAAGATACAAGGTTAGATTACGGATTTTATAAAAAAAATACAAAAAAATGGCAACCATTATATTAAACAACATTAACAAAAACGAAATTTTTTTGAAAACGTCGAGCTTTTTCTTTAAACAAATATAGTTGTGATTTTTAAATTGAATTACAGAATTTGAGCCGTGTCTTAAATTTCAGATTGTATTTGGAATACAATCTGTATTGTATTGTATTTGTTTCGAGTCTTAAGCCGGCGCTCAATTGGAATCGGCTTTTGGCGGTTTAGCTACGCGGTTTTAATTCTTTAAATTCAGCTCCAGGATTCATAAAAGAAAGAAACAAAGATCTAGTATATATCAAATAAACAAGACTGTAAGAATAAGTTTGAGAATATTCTGTACAGTCGTCTTAAAAGTCTTATTTTCTTGTGGGTAACCGTGCAGAAAATAATTATATAACAGCTGTAATTAATTCAGGCCTGAGTTTGTGATTGCTACTGTTGATCGGTTTCATTATCTTCATTTTGGAGCTTTCTCTTTTCTCTTGGTTGGAGTAATCTCAACAATAATATCTCTTCTAACTGAACCTATACCTCAAGCTAGGCTTTATAGATTAACCTACTGGACCAGGTAGGAGTAGATTAACCTACTGGACCAGGTAGGAGTAGATTAACCTACTGGACCAGGTAGGAGTAGATTAACCTACTGGACAAGGTAGGAATAGATTAACCTACTGGACCTAGATTAATCTACTGGACCAGGTAGAAGTAGATTAATCTACTGGACCAGGTAGGAATAGATTAACCTACTGGACCAGGTAGGAGTAGATTAACCTACTGGACCAGGTAGGAGTAGATTAACCTACTTGACCAGGTAGGAGTATATTAACCTACTGGACCAGGTAGGAATAGATTAACCTACTGGACCAGGTAGGACTAGATTAACCTATTTAACCAGGTAGGAGTAGATTAACCTACTGGACCAGGTAGGAGTAGATTAACCTACTGGACCAGGTAGGAGTAGATTAACCTACTGGACAAGGTATGAATAGATTAACTTACTGGACCAGGAAGGAGTAGATTAACCTACTGGACCAGGTAGGAGTAGATTAACCTACTGGACCAGGTAGGAGTAGATTAACCTACTGGACCAGGTAGGAATAGATTAACATACTGGACCAGGTAGGAGTAGATTAACCTACTGGACCAGGTAGAAGTAGATTAATCTACTGGACCAGGTAAAACTCTGTTCAGAGTATATATTACGTTGTTCATCTTAAAACTCTGTTCAGAATTTATACTACGTTGTTCATAATAAAACTCTGTTCAGAATATATGTTATGTTGTTCATCCGAAAACTCTGTTCAAAATATATATTCTTCCCCTGTGCCCCCCTTTAAGGGAAACTGGGGGGGGGGGGCGTAATTGCTGAACAGTCATCTTACTATTTCAGAGAGTTTAGTAACTATTTCATCTGATATCGCAGTTTTTTTCGATATGACAGCTATGATTAAATCAAAGCCATGATTATTTGCAACATTTTATAATATCCTGAAAAATGTAAAACATTAAAATATAAAAGAAAATTTGAATGGAGCTGCATCAATTATTCCAATTTCAGATTCAGTAAAGAGATTAGAGAAGAACTAGAGGATGATAACACGGATTTTAATATTCAACCAGAAACAAGGTACAATTATAGTTCTACGCAGAAACAAGGCAATTTATAGTAATAAACAAAAACAAGGTAAAAGCATAGTTCTACGCAAAAACAAAGGAAACTATATTTCTACGCAGAAACAAGCTAAATTATAGTTCTACGCAGAAACAAGGTAAAGTATTGTTCTACGCAGAAACAATGTAAATTATTGTTCTACGCAGAAACAATGTAAATTATTGTTCTACGCAGAAACAAGGTAAATTATTGTTTTACGCAGAAACAATGTAAATTATTGTTCTACGCAGAAACAAGGTAAATTATTGTTTTACGCAGTAAATTATTGTTCTACGCAGAAACAATGTAAATTATTGTTCTACGCAGAAACAAGGTAAATTATTGTTCTACGCAGAAGCAAGGTAAATTATAGTTCTGTGGTTTCAGGTTGAAATAACTTAACAAGAAAAAAACAAAAGTTAAAAAATGATAAACATATTTTCAGGCTCGAACCATCAGAGAGCAGCCTTACTATTTGGCGGAGAATTCTGAATTGTATTTGTGGTTTGAATCAGGTATTTTTATCCAGGAGTTGGAATAATCCACTTTTTATTATTTAGTAAACAGGAAAGTAAACATTTATCACTCAGAAAATGTTTTTTCCGTGATTTCTTCTTCTCAACCCTATCCCGATTGGGCTATTTTTGTCTAATATACAGGGGGGGGGAATGTTTTCCACCCCCCCCCCTCCTTTATGATTTTAAACTTAGAGTCGCGATAGGGGAGTGTGATACATGCAAAGAGAATAGAATATATATTAGTGTGGAATTTGGAAAAGAGAATAGAATATATATTAGTGTGGAATATACTAGAAAAAGTGTAAAACGGCCATTTTGTTGTACTGTTTCCATACTGCAGAGCCCGAAATTTAAAAGAGTATCGTTGAACGAAACTCTCGAGTTTCCTTTTTGGGGTCTTAACATTTTTAAGATGTTGATTTAAGAGATTCGAAAAAAAATGGAGAATATGAAGAAGTTAAACAAAAAAATATTTCATAACAAAAAATATTGATATCCACAAAACTGCCCAATCCCATTCATGAAACCCGGGTTTTAAAACTGGTTTTCATAACTATACTCTGTCTTAAGTTTTGGGCTCTGGTGTGCTTCACAAATTTGTGCTATTTAACCTTTTGGGCCCTGGAACACCATTTTATAGAAAAGTTTTCTTTTGAATTTCTCTAAATCAATTCTCTGATAGCTTGTCATGCACACGTGGAGAGAAATCAATCTAATATGTTTTTTTATTAAAAAAACATATTAGCCTGCAGGTAATCAAAGAGGGATGCCCAATATTTTAGAAATATTCAAGATATCTAAATATAGTCCAACTTTTTTACACCAAAATTGAGGATGGTCATAACTTTAATATTTTAAAATTAATATTAACAGAAAACCAAATTATGAAATAGGCTGGTTTCATAATTGACCAATGATCATTTCACATAGACTCTATGCCTTCCACTTTACAAACGCTGATTTTCCGATTTAATCAAATGATGTTTTTTATTCACCTAATTCATTTAAAAACTTTCTTTAACAGCTTTAAAAAATTCGAAATTGAAATGGATAGTCTAGGAAATATACTGTAATATAATGTACTCTACTGCATATACTTTGTGAATATTTTTACTTTTGACAAATGTTAATATGTAACACATGTTATTACATCCATTTTTCAAGGGCCTTTCAAATATATAATTTTTATCCCTGTAGCTTAATTTAAAAAAGTTATTAACCATTTCTGATTTTTTAAAACACCGACCCGCCGTTTGACTGCATAATCAACACAACCCATGCATAAAAAAATGTTTTTAGCTAAATTTTGCTGCAACTATGAAGTTAAAAAAAGAATGAAGTTTTGCGTTCTAATTTCTTCTTAAGTTATCTAGAAAAAACACAGGAGGGGGGGGGGAAAGTAATTCAAATCTTTTATAAGTCAAAAATTTGTAAAAACGTTGATATTAAAAAAAGTAATTTCCCTGTTCTCCAAAACTTGATATATAGAACATTTTCCAAATAGACGCAAAACAAGGGTCTGTCCTAGTAAACGATTTTTGGACCCCCCCCCCCCTATCAATTTTGTACATGACCATTTATTTTTCAGCAAATTTATTATTATTTATTTTTTTGTTATTTGGGGTTAGGTTAGGTTAAGACACTTTCTGGACCGAGCGCTGCGGCTAGGATGGGCTAGGGGGCCGAGCGCTACGGCCACGGGTTAGGTTAAGTTAAGACACTTTCTGTAAGATCCATGTACAAAATTGATAGGAGGGGGGGCGGGGGGGGTCCAAAAATCGTTCTCTAGGAATATACCCAAAACAAATTCTTATATTTCTTGCTATTTAATATATTATCTTCGCGCCCTTCTTCAATTTCAACTTTTCATTGAGACTCTATCTAGTAAACCTTTGTTTACAATATATTACAAGAACAAAAAAAGTTAGCTAATTTCATAATATTTTTTGCGCATTTTCAAAATTTTACAAATATCAAAAATTGTGTACACAAATTTTTGTAATTTTGAGCATTCATAAACCTTCCCTGGGGTCATGTCAGGTCTCGTAGAAAATTTGGGCCCAATCGGTTCAGCCGTTTTAAGGTTTATTGGACACACACGGACAGACAGACAGACACGCAAAGTATATATAGATACAGATAGATGGGGTGCACTGTAAATCAGGCATTACCATCTTTGCAAGGAAGGTCACTTGAAATTACGCTTACAATCCCTTTAAACTAAGATTTATTTATTTGAAAAATGTACATGTTTGAAACTTCAACTCTAAGGGCAAAATCATAGGGGGGGGGGGGGATTTTTATCACACAAAAATAGCCCAATCGGGATATTGTTAACTTGTTCCAGCTTTCTTAACTTATTCTAGCTTTATCAACTAGTTCGATCTAGATTAACTAGTTCCAGAATCCAGCTTGCATAACTATTTCTAGCTTGATAAACTGGTTCTAGCTAGATCAACTAGTTCTATCTAGACCAACTAGTTCCAGCTTTTACAATTAGCTCTAGCTAGATCACCTAGTTCTATCTAGATTAACTAGTTCTAGCTTTTATAATTAGCTCTAGCTAGATCACCTAGTTCTATCTAGATTCTAATAGTTCCAGCTTGCATAATTTTTTCTAGCTTGATAAACTGGTTCCAGCTAGATCAACTAGTTTTATCTAGAAATGATAAAAATCCTTTACAGAGGCGTGCAATAATAAATGCTAAATAATTTTTTTTGGTTTAACCAAAATAGACTGGAGGAGTGCTATAAAATGTTGAAATCCAACGACTGAAAGAAGGTCTAAATTTAGATTTAGTCTGATAAAGTTAAAATATGGCATTCAGGCAGTCGTAGTTAGAAAATTAAAAAAAAAATTAAAGGCCTCAGGCCAATACTTTTTTAATTTTCTATCGGGATTGCATTATATTGAATAACACAGGATAAATACTAATACTCATTATGTTTAGGGAAAATAGGGCTGTGCACACTGCACACTGCATACTGTTACAAGAATCTATTTTCTTTGTAATTTTAAGCTTAACAAGAGAATTTAAAAATAGCGAAAAAAAATTCAAAATCAAAAACAGAACATTGGAATATTTTCAAATAAATTAGCTTCAGTAAAATTTCTAGAAGATAAAGAAATATTTCAATATTTATATTAAAAACACTGTAATATATATATTTTATTTTATACACAGTGTGTGTCTCTATTGTCTTTGTTCCACGCGGGATTATTACGTATACACAATTTTTAGCATCAAGGTTAAAACATTTAGCACCAAAAACTACTATTCTCGGGGTTTCCAAATTGTGGTCTGCCTTTTTTGACCATTAAAATCGACGGAGATATTAGGATTTTTGTCCAGATTCCAGTTTATTGAAAATCAACAAAACTTATCAAATGGTTAATATCTCCGTCAATTTTAAAGATACAAAAAGGTACACTACATTTTAGAAAGCTAATAAGACTTTCAATTTCTTTTTGATGCACTTTATATCATTTATCAATCATCGGAAATCCAAGACGATATTCAAGACATTACTCAATTCTCATGTTTATTGGGACACCTTGTATTATATAAATGTACATACAATTACATACACATTACATTGTATTCAATTAAAGAAACAATCAATAAAGGGGAACATAATTACTTGTTAAAGGTTGATGTATATGAATAATACGGGAATATGAATATTTAAATATTAATTATTGTTTCGCTACTTAGCGATTTCCCTAAAGACCTAATATATATACCGTGCGGTATTTCTCAAGATAGGATTGTAAGCCTTCCTCTTCTCAACGCTCTCCATAACAAAGGATAATAATAAGGTTCCGAACGTTTATTTCTCCGAGACTTCAATCTGAATAAGTTTAATAAACCCACAGAAAAAGCTTTGAGTGATAAATCATATGAATACAACAAATAAATCAACTCAGGCATTAAAAAACTGTGGCAAGGAACCAACAAAACACATTTATAAATATCAACCATAACATAAACAAACGATATGCATACATATATATAAGGAATAATTACCGCAGTGATCCTAGAATTCTTAGCACGATTAATAATAGACAAACTTCCACGTGAGAAAACTTGCGCCTGTGTAGTCAGTCTGTAAACAGCTTCTAAAACTAGTTTTTCACAATACGTTCTGTACAGATCCGCAGGGAGAACTCAGGAATTCACAGGGGCACCACATAGACTTCATACACGCAGCATGGCTCGCGTAACACTCGCCCAGCCAGGAACAAACGAAAAAGTTCTATCTGC